TAAATCACTGTGCAAATATTTTCTACTTTCTGCAAAAGCTTCCACAAAAAATTTTAATTGCCAATTCACCCCCTCTTGGCTATTTCGTCGATCGATTAACTCAACACGTTCTTTAATCTGAATGGCATCACCTTATAGCAAAATGTGCCCTACATTGTCATAAATTTTGTCTTCTTCATATCTTCGAGGTCTATCTTGATTTGATTTTACCCTAAAAAGCTATCCATAAAAGAGAAAGGAGCATGCTTAGTTGTGTTATCAATCAGGGTGTCAATATGAGGAAGTGAGAAGTTATCTTTGGGACTTGTACTATTATGATCCCAAAGTCAACACACATTCAAACCTTCCCATATTTCTTTGGAACAAGCACAATGTTAGCTACACATTCAGGATATCTAGACACCTGCAAGAATCCAACATCAAATTGCTTTTTCACTTCTTCCTTTAGCTTTAACATGTCTGATCTCATTCTTCGAAGCTTCTACTGTATTGGCTTACATTCTTGCTTTATTGGTAGTTTATGTAGTACAATGTATGTATCCAAACCTGACATATCCTAATACAACCAAATAAACACATCTTTGAACTTATGTAACATGTTTATGAGGTCTTGCCTTCTTTCCGCTGAGAGCGAGGTGTCAATCTTGACCCCTTTTTTATCTTTATTTGTCCCCAGATTCACTGTATTAGTCATCTCTTAATGAGACAAAATCTATTTATTTTCTTGTTCAATCATTTTGACAAGTTCAGGGTTTTATTTACATTCTTCATCATCCTTATAACCCTCATATTCCTTTAGATACATATCATTTTCAAAATCAATATTTGGTTAAAAAATATCAATATTTGAGCACTTGTATCTAGAGACCTATGAATAAAAAAGAATGTGTTCGGGATATGGAGAAGAATTCAATTATATTTATCAAAAGAATAGTTGTAATAATGTAATAAAGAAATAAATAAAATGTTTGCTATGAAGAGAACGAGTGAAATGAATTACTTTGAAACGAGCTTGTAGAATATAGGGAGAAGTTCAACAGTATACCTGTTCAAATCATATCTAGGAGAACAAGGATGAATCAAAGCTCGTGAACATTCAGCAGTTGATACATCTGTGATAACATTGATGCTCAAGTTTTCTATTTTATCTCGACTTCCGCAATACATGGGTGCTCTAACGTATCAACCATGAAGCCCCTAGATGAGATGGTCTGAGTGATGTGTAGTATAACCATAGGCTCCCAAGTAATATCCTGACCACCTATCCTTTCCATTCTTCTTTCCCTAAGCTTTTTGTGCACCCCTAACCCTGTCCTAATAAATAGTTTTGTACCTAATTCCAAAGCCATTTATCTTGGACATCGGAATCAGACCCTCAATGATTCCTTGTAACCTTTTACCGAATCATTTTCCAACTCGAGATCCTCGAGCTATGGTTTCTTTCAGCTGTATTATAGTGCTATTTGGCAGTCTAGGGGAGGGCATATGCTTTTCCTCGAACAAAAAAATTAGTATTAACAAACTCTAAAAACTAGAATGTTGATTCAAGTGCATTCTCATTCACCTCCACATATGGTTCATCAGTGGTATAGACACTATGATTTCTTTTTCAGCTTTGACGGTCACCAAAGTTCTTTTGGAAATGAATTGAAGCTTCTGGTGTAATGAATAAGGAACTGCACCAACCATATGTATCCACGGTCTTCCTAGCAGACAGTTGTAGTTTGGATGAATGTCCATGACCACAAACTCTACATTAAATGTAGTTGGGACAATACGGAGGGGAATTACGATTTTACCCGTAATGTTCCTTTTAGTGCCATCAAATGCACGAATAGTGTTTCCACAGACCTTCATGTGTGAAGTCTCCACGGAGAGTTTATTCATTGTTACCCACGACATGACATTCAAAGTTGATCCATTATCTATCAACACTCCAAAAAGAATAACCCCTTTACAATGAACAATTATATGCAACACCTTGCATCTACCTTTCCCTTCCTCATGTATCTCTTCATCATAAAATAGATGAAGTTGTCAGCGTTGATGTTATTTACCTACTTATCAACGTGTTCTATTGGTATATCTTTTGGCACAAATGTCTTATTCAACCCTTTCAACAACGTATTTCGATGTACCTCAGAATGCAGAAGAAAAGATAACATCAAAATTCATGTCGGGGTCATTCGGAGCTGATCTACAATGTTGTATTCACAGTGCTTAATAAATTTTAGGAATTCTCGAGCCTCTCGGTGTGAACGGGTTCATTCACCCAAGATTTCGATACAAAAGACAATCCTTTATATTTCATTGATATGGAATTGTTTGATTGCAGGCTAGGAGAGAAAAGTTTAGTGAAAGAATGAAAGTTCTTCAGCATATGGTTCCTGGTTGCAATAAGGTATATACTGATGAAATTTCTGAACTGTTTCGTGCTACGAAATCTATTTTTTTGTGTATAAGGAAACCTATTGCCTGGTTTGCTTCTAATCCAAAAGCGTATCGAAATTTCTCTTCAGTTCCCCTGATTATGGCATGTTTAAGCCACTTGCTAAATAGTTTGTTGGATTCAGGTTATTGGCAAGGCTCTTGTTCTTGATGAGATAATTAATTACATCCAATCACTACAGCGTCAGGTTGAGGTGTGTATCCTTTTGCTTATCTTTAACTGTATTTATTTTACATTTTCGGTCCAGTAATCCTGAACTTATATTCTGAAACGTTATTACTGGTGTTGCAGTTCTTGTCGTTGAAACTTGAAGCAGTTAATTCAAGAATGAACCATGCCATTGAAGTGTTTCCTCTCAAAGATGTTAGTATTTATTCTGTCGTTGACTATGTAGTTTTTATTTAATTAAACTTATGATCGAAAGTTTTATCACTTTCTTTTCTAGCTGCTAGCATTGACACATGCTTTCTACATCCAAGTTTCATACATCTGAAGTTAAAGGTTCATAAGTCATGTTGAACTTGAACCGTATTTGGCTTAGAATTCGTGTCTGGTTGAAGAATAAGCCTTCTTGATAGTTGATAGCCAAAATAAGAAGAGCAGATCTATACCGTGTTAAACAACTAGTTTCTGTAGAAGCTTGTTGGTTGATCTGTTTTCTATAATAATTGTGATTAGATTAGTTTTGGATTTACATTTTCTAAAGATAACATGCTATAATGTTATTTTTGTTAAATCAAATCCGTTGCTTTGTGTTTGTCCTCTTAGTGTCTAGTTGTCGGTAGTTTAATATGTCGTCCTGAGTTCACACCTTACCTGAAATTCTTGTTGCTATTTTCATTTGAATGAAATAGTTGTAGAAATCATTTCCCTTTTCCCCAGGCTTTGTATATGTTATAACAATTGATTCTGCATTTCAGTATGGGCAACAAACGTTCGACACTACTGCAAAACGGCATTTGGTTGGCAAGCAACAAGGGATTACAGTCGAGGTTCATCACCAGAGTAGTTGCATATCCGCGGTGGTTTCGATATAACAACATAATCTTGAGAATTCATCAAATAAGCGATAAGAGCATTAATATCTAATGATTCGTCCTTCAGTCATCATGCCCGAAGAAGTATATTGCATCCTTGTAAACCAAAGTATATTTTCTTTCGCACAACATGAGGCATCGAGTCGCCATTGCCGTCCAAAAGAATGCTAAAGTCAGTATCCGAACATTTTCGTTGTGTTTTGAAGAATGTGTTCTTTTACTCTATATATGAAATGTCAGGCTTTACGGCCTTCCCTGTAATAAATACCCGAACAGAATCTGCTAGAATCATTGTTGTTGTTGTACAAGAAAGTTGCTTGTTCAGAACTACTGATGCTTACGTGTTGAGTCAACTCTGTGATTGTTAAGAAATAAGATAGTAATAAATAAGTAAAGCCAGTTTACTGCTAAATGAAAATTTTCTGGCTTCGGCGCAATTTTTGCTGACGCTGCACCTTGGTCCGAGATTAAATGCATCTGCATATCTGATGACAGCGCCTCCTCCACCTGCTCGGCTGGTGTTTTTGTTCCTTGATTTGGACTTGAAGCACTTCTTTTATTTCATGGCTGCTGTCGTCGTGGCGAACAACTCCATCATTTTCTTCAAGAGAGCTGAAAAACTTGGCTAATCTCTGAGACACAGTCTGCTGGCTCTCATTCAGTGATTCTTCATTGCCATCGTAATCATCGTCGTTCTCATAAACTAAAAAAATCCCAGCCTTCTTCAGGTCTACGCCCTTCACATAGGGAGGGTTTTGTGTCGTCACTTTAATCTTAAAGCCATCCTTCAACAATGAAACCAAGGGGAAATGAGCAGGATATCGACACAAGTGAACATGGTCTTGATTCGTATTCGGTACCCCAATTAAGTTCAGGCCAGTGGTGTGTATTACCCTTTCACCATCAAAGATCTGTGCTTGAACGTCCGCCACAGCAGGTATATGATATCTTAGTTCATCTGGTACATGATGGTTAATGGAAACAACTACCATTAGTATCACCCCGGTGAAATCAAGGCTTTTGTGACTCGAAAAAGTAATCATATCTTGTGAAAGCCAATCCGGAATTATACTTCCGGGCATGCTTAGATTTTTCAGATTCTTGAGATAAACCTTTGAGAGACTTTTCTTTGCTGCTGAAGCACATTTGCTGCAATTACTCATGTACAAACTCATGTACAATGTCCTCAAGGATTTCAAGTACTCAAGGCCTGGAATATCCACCAACTTCACACAGTTTGTGAGGTTTAAATCTCTTAAGCCCTCTAAATTGGAGAGATCAGACAAATGCTCCAATGAAATACAGTTTTCAAGATTCAGATTCTCCAAACTCGAAGGAAGTGGAGGGAGGGACTCGAGCTTTTCGCAGTTGGGAAGCTGGAGATCTTTGAGAAGTGATAATCCGCTTAGGCGAGACGGAAGTTTATGAAAATCGTTGCTTCCTAAAAACAGAACCTCTAAATTCGACAACTTCTCGAAATCATCAGGGATTTCACCACATATTCTCCAGGCCCGAGCGTCGAGTTCTTGTAGCGATGACAGATTCGTGAAAGATGACGGCAACGCTACTAATGGTGAATTCGGTTGCACTTGTGTACTGCGTTTCTCTCCAATTGTCAGTACCTGCAAGCTTGTGAGCATGCCAAAGCTTTCCGGTAATTCCTCACCGCGGTTTCTTTCATGTATAAATGATGCAAAGACTTCAAATTTCCCATTGAGGATGGAAGTTTATGAAGCTTTCTACATTGGTTCAATCTTAATGTAATAAGATTTTCCAACATCCCAAAAGACTCCGGCAACTCGGTAATACCGGCGTTGTATATGTTCATATATGTAAGAGCAAACAAGCTCCCGGTTGACTCTGGCAGATATTCAAGTAAAATGCAATTCCTTATCTCAATCTTCTCAAGTAATGTCAATTCGCCGGTATAACTTGGGAGACGAGTAATTGATGTGTCTGCGATATCAAGTTCCACAGCAGACGACAGCCCTCGAAATGAATCTGGCAACTTGCTAATACTTTTGCCTCCTACAAATAAGCTTTTCAGATATGATAAATTACCTATAGAATTTGGCAACTCATTAATTGCACTGCCCTTTATGAGCAACTCTTTCAATAATTTGAGATTGCCGACGGTATCGGGAATCACGGTGAGAGATTCACAAGATATTAAACTCAGTCGTTCCAAGTTCTCCAAAGATCCAACAGAGTCGGGCAACTTCTCTAATGCAGAGTGATCGAGACTAAGTTCCTTGAGAGAAACGAGCATTCCTACGCATGTTGGCAACCATTTGATCCGAATGCAACCATCTAGGATCAGTTTTTCGAGCTTTTCGAGGCGGTAAATAGATTCAGGCAGCTTGTCTATGCTGGTGTGATCAACATAAAGTTCTTTGAGCGATCTCATGCTGCCGATGCCCTCCAGTAACTCCTTCAACTTGGAGCAATCGCTGAGGACGAGGGTTTGAAGATTTTTCATTCCTAAAACATCACTTGGAAATTCAACAAGGTTTAAACAACGTGTCATATCCAAGTGATGTAATGACTTTAAACTACCAACTGATTTGTGAATGTTTGTCAGTGCCACACAGTTCTTGAGAACAATCTTTTCCAGTTTTCTATGTCTAGATAAATCGGGAAGAGATGCCAAATTTGCGCAATAGCTCAGATTCATGACCTTCAAGTTTTCAGCAACCTGAGACAAAGAAATATTCCATGACAAGGAAAAAACAGTTCGTAAATTGCCACAAACTAGCTAGTTACAGGCAGTGGAAACCGGGGTAAGTAGCGTTACCTCGTTAACATTCGAGCTCCACAACTGTTTAATTTTGCTATCCGAGAGATCAACGACAGCTAGCTTTTGGGGACAAAAATCAGAAGGAAGAGTTTCCAGTGCACATCCGTGCCATTGAAGCCACTTGAGTTCACGAGGAAGGAATTTAAACTTCCCTTCCAAGTTTACATGATTGACTCGAAGCAATCTCAGATTAACCATGGATTCGAAAGACTTGGTACCAAAAATCACCTGTTTCCGGTCGTTATCAGCTTTCTTCATGTTCACCACAATACCCTGAATTCTTCTTGTTCCCTATTGTCAACAATGTCCACAAAATCAATGTTTCAAGCTCAGTAAATCATGTCAAGTATTATACATGTATGTGAATATATAGTTATATACCTTATGATTTTTCAAGACCCTCACAATTTCGTCATGATCCCACAGTCTGCTACGCATTCCGGGATCGGAAAAGCTCTCATCTTGCACGATTTGTCGTCCCATGTCCCGAAGCTGATCATGCATCCAAATAGAATCGTCTTCATGGAACTTGATCAGAGATTTTTCTTCAAGAACTCTTAAGCCTATTTCTGCTTTGAAATCACATCCTCTCAATACGTCAACTACGTCTTCTTTCTTGGTTTCCAAACTGGCAAACAAGCACGCTACATCTAAGAATATGCATCGATTTTCTGTGTCGAGCGCATCGAAACTTATCTTCAGCACATCTTGAACCTCGTGTGGACGAATATCTCTCAACTTGTTCAATGCATCTTTCCATTCGGTTACCTTCCTTTTGTCGAACAAAAACGAACCGAACACTTCCAATGCCAATGGTAAGTTCCCTGTGAGAGACACGATTTCCTCGGACAATTTCAGAAACTCGGTTGTTGGTTGGTCTCTTCTAAGCGCATGATAGCTGAAAAGTTGTAGTGCCTGATCAAAATGCAGCTCCCTGACCTCGTAAATAAAATTCACGTAACGTTCATTCAAAATTCCTTTATTTCTTGTTGTGACAATGATTCGAATATTTTCATCTGTTCGCCATTTGAGTTCTGCACCCAATGCACTCAGTTGGTTTTCGTCGTCGACGTCGTCCAGGACAATTAGAACCCTTTTTCCATGAACATTCTTTCGGATTTTCGAGGCATTGACGTCGACATCGTTCGCAAAAAGATCAATATCAGCAGCGGAACCGAAGAGATCACCAACGAGTTTGTGTTGGAGGGACACTAAACCATCTTTTTGTTTTGAAAGTTCTCTAACATTCGAGATAAAACAGCGGTGCTCGAACTGTTCGAGTCCGAGTATTTTGTTAAAGACGGCCTTGGCAAGGGTCGTCTTGCCAATGCCGCCCATCCCATGAAGGCCGACAACTTTAATACCATGGGACTTTACATCTAAGAGATTTATGAGCCCCGTCACTCGCGCATCGAGTCCGACCGGGTAAGCGGCTACTTCCACCGGTGTATTGCTCAGATGTTTCAGAACTTCCCTCAGCAGAACCCGAATCACTTCCCCTCCATCACTGCAATGGAAACTTGCAACATCTTAGATGAATGTTGAAGAAAAACCTTTTGACAATTTAGAATTTGCACGTGTGACGTAGTTATATCTTTATGAAACAAATGTAGTATACACCATTATTAAAAACCTACGATTGAATCCAAGATTTTTTCATCCTATTATTTTTTTAGGGCAAGTTACACTAAAGGTCACTCATGAATATAAAATTATTTGATAGTCAGCAGTCTTTTATTGTTATAAAATATCATTCAACTTTTTACATATTTATAAAATGATCCCTTGTAATCCTAAAATAGTAATAAACTTTGATAAGTTTAAAGATCATTTAATAATAATTTAATAAATTTAAAGATATTTTATGATCATGTTAGAAGGTTCGAAAGAACACTAACAATAAAATCATATTTACAAAATTTACTAATATCTAATATACTTTATCTCAATTCAAGGATGGACTTAAGCGGGTAGGTGGGGTTGTCGCCCCCTAAAATTTTATAATTATCATATATTTTAGATTTTTTTCCATTTATTTTTTATTGAAAGTCTATTTTTGCCCCCTAAATTATATAAATTCAAGTTCATCCCTCTAAAATTTTATAAATTTAAATTTACCCCAACATAAAATCTTACATTGGTCTAATTTCTAATAATTAAGCATCAACGTTCAAATGCGTAGAACCATCCGTAAACTGTAAAAGTCATGATTGAAAAAGCTAAACGAATTTCATATTATAAGACGGTTGATATTATTTTAGATGGTAAATTTATCAGGTTTACATACTATATTTACATACCATATTGGTCCCTAATAAAGTAGTCAATAATCAATAAAGTTTATTGGGTGAATTATTATTTCAACTTACTATAAATTTGTTTAATTACAATTCTGTTGAATTGAGTAAAATTATCCAAATAATATGTTAAAAAGAAATCTTCATGCAAGATGTTAGAGAAATTCTTATTTTTATCTAAGATGTTTGTTATAGTATTCAGTAGAAATCGTTTGGATTATCTAACACCTTCTGAAGTCGTTTAAATCATCCGGTAATTTTTGGAGAAAGATAGGATTTCATTGTATTGTGCATGCATGCATCTTGAGTCGCTTAATATGTTTTATTTTTAGAAGTTAACTTAATAGAGATATCTTTTTAATTTTAGGAGCTAATTTGATCTTCAATTTATAAGTAAAGAGTTTATGATAACAGCATTTTACTCATATATTTTATTTTTCTTTAATCGGCATGATTTAATTATTAATTTGATTTTTAATAGATATTAATTTTATTGGTTAAGAGATTTATAGTTATCTCTTAAGATTTCAAATTTCAGCATAGTGGTGTAAATATTGGCCGTTAATTTTATTTGTTGGAACATTGAACTTCATAAATCTGAATGCGAACCCCTAGCATCGTCTACTTAAATATTTGCAGATCTAATTGTATTAAGCATGTGAGATTTGAGGAAAGCAAGTAAAGAAAGAGATAAATAACCTTTCGTTTTTGACAACGAAACCAGCAAGGGAGCCAACGTTGGCCATGGCTTCCCTCCACCCTTTGGCCTTGTCTTTTCCGAATCTGTTCTCGTGGCAGAAGAACGCCTCCACAAAAGGCCCTATCTGTTTCCGAACATGCGAAGGATCAACCTCATAGAATAACGGCAGAACCAGTCGCCGGATCAGGCTCCGCCTCCGCAAATCGCAGATCCTGGCCAATTCTTCCAGGCACCAATGGGAGGAAGCGTAATTTTTGGACAGAATAACGATGAAAGCGGCCGAGTCTTCGATGGCTTCCAGCAACCCCCGTGCGATCTCGTCTCCACGGTTCAATCCGACGTCGTCTACAAAGACGCGCACGCCTTTTCCGTCGAGCGAGCGATACAGGCAGGTCGTGATGCCGTCGCGCGTGTCTTCGCCTCTGAAGCTGAGGAAGACGTCCCATTGGCGCCTAAAAGACGACGGAGTTGAGGTTGAATCTGCACCTTCGTTCGCCATTTTTTGTTTTGATTCTTTGCTTTTGAGTTTCCACCGACTGAATTAGTGATTTTCGAACTTTATCTGCAGTAATTAGCTGAGAAAGAACAATATGTTTTACTTTTCGTACTCAAGCTGTATGTGACGGAAATTAGATTTATAAAATTATAAATAAAAAATGTTTAAATATTAAATATAAAACGTATAGTTTTGTTAACCCATAATTAAAATTCATTATTGCATTTGTTCCGCATAAATTATTAGTTCAGCGACTTGAATAAAGAAAAAAATCTCATTTTATTTTATGTATTCTTTCTCTCTTGGAAAAAATCATACAATTAGTATATATATTTAAAATTATGAAATCTTATATTTAAATTATTTAATTTTTTAAAAAATTTTAATTTATAATATTTTAGATATTATAATAATAGCAATATAAATTAAATTAATTTTCAATTAAAAATTGATTTAAATAATTTTAAAAACCAAAAAAACAATTGACTTAAAACATGGTGGTATGTATTAGGATATATCAAACTGTAATTAGTTAGTCTATAGTTAACTGTTTTAATTCGGTTAGTTAGTTAACCTTATAGTTGCTATAGTTGTATATAAACAAGCTATGTAATCTTCTTTGTATACAAGTAAAGAATACATTCTTTCATTTTTAGTTTTCTTGATCGTTATATGGTATCAGTAGTTTTTTTTTCTTTTCACGCTTCATCATGGCTGAATCATTGAATGACAATTTCGATAATGGGGCAAATCCCTATTATTTGCATCAATCTGACAATCCTAGTATGATATTAGTGAGCCAGCTACTTTCTAATGATAATTTTCATAGTTGGAAAAGATCGATGATGATTGCCTTATCTGCCAAGAACAAGCTTGGTTTCATTGATGGTTCCTTTCAAGCTCCTGACTCGTCCATGGTAAACCAGTTCAATGCTTGAACAAGAGCCAATAATTTGGTCAATTCTTGGCTTCTCAATTCAGTCTCCAAAGACATTACTGCAAGTTTGCTGCATCATACGACTGATACTGAAATGTGGAAAGACTTGGTTGATCGCTTCCAGCAGTCGAATGAACCATAATTGTTTCACTTAAATAAGCGATTGTGTGAGCTCGTGCAAGATAAGATGTCAGTAAGTAATTGCTATACTCAGTTAAAAATGTTTGGGATGAACTATTTTCAATTCGACAGTTATGTAGTTATCTCCAGTGTAATTGTCGAGGAGTACAACGTATGCTTGTTGAACAACAGCAAGAACAAGTCATTCAATGGGGTTGAATGAGTCTTATGCTCATATCAGGGGGCAGATTCTTTTAATGGATCCCCTTTCTCCCATTTCAAAGGTTTTTTCTTTGGTTGTTCAATAAGAGAATCAAAGAAATATGCAATCTCTTCATCCTATTTTTGAGCCTACCTTTGTTGTCAAGGCTCATTCTGGCAGTAACACTCACAAGAAAAAACCTTTGTGTAGTCATTGTAACATCCTTGGTCATACAAAGGACAAGTGTTATAAATTGATTGGTTATCCACCTGGTTATAATTCCAATAATTGGTTTTCTTCGAATTCTTCTCATGATAAAGGTTCTTAAGTAGTTAACAAAAAATATGTGGTTTTTCAGCAAGGTTCTTCTACTGTCACTGAAGCTTTTACTTCTGAGCAATATCAGCAATTGATTGCCATGCTCACTTCTCAGTTACAAACTGTATCGTCTTTGGATATTCCTACCACTTCAATTAATACTGCCATGCAAGGTAAGATTATGTCACACATAAATGGTTCAGGTGTTGGGATGTTTGATTACTGGATTTTAGATTCTGGGGCTTCAAGACATATATGTTATTCAATGACTCTCTTTGAATCATTATTTCCCATAACAAGTTGTTCAGTCACCTTACCTAATGGATCCATCATTCCAGTTAACTTTGCAGGCACAGTTCGGTTTTCTTCTGATCTTGTTTTACATGATGTGTTGTTTATTCTAGATTTTCGATTCAATTTGTTTTCAGTTAGTGCACTGTTGAAATTTTTTTATCTTAATGTGTTGTTTTGAAAAATGGGTTGCTCAATTCAGGACCTTCATCAAGTGATTGGGAAGGGTGAACCGGTTCAAGGACTTTACTTGCTACAGATGTCTTCATTCAAACCCAATATTTCATGTAATAGTGTTTCTAGTGCTTTGTCTAGTGATTTGCATAATAGATTGGGTCATCCCAGTCTTCATGTTATGCATCTTTTTAAGGATGTTTTGTCTTTGAAGAATGTAAAAATGCGAGATTCTTATCAAATTTTCCCATTGGCCAAGCAACAAAGATTATTATTTCCAATTTTTTGTTCTCATACCACATGATTGTTTGAATTAATTCACTATGATATATGGGAACCTTATAAGCACAAAACGTATTCTGGTCAGGCTTCATTTCTTACTTTGTTTGGTATTTGTTTAGATCTACCTGGGTTTATTTGTTGCAGCAAAAATTTGATGTCAGTACAATCATACCTGCTTTTATATCCATGATAAAGAAACACTTTAAGCTTAATATAAAATCTTTCAGGTTTGATAATGCTCCTGAATTAAAGTTTATTGAGTTTTTTTTGCTAGCTTTGGTATAATTCATCAGTTCTCATATGTGGAAACACCTCAATAAAACTCTGTAGTTGAAAGGAAACATCAACATTTATTGGTTGTTGCCTGTGCTTTGTATTTTCAATCAAAGGTGCCAATCAAGTTTTGGGGTGATTGTTTACTCGTTGCAACATACCTAATTAATATACTTTCATCACCTGTATTGAATAATAAATCTCCTTATGAAGTCTTATATGGTCATTTAACAAATTATAGTAGGCTATGAGCTTTTGGTTGTCTTTATTTTGTTTCCACGTTGAAGTCCCAACAAGATAAGTTCTCAACTCGAGCTCTGCCTGCTGTTCTTCTTGGATATACTCTAGGTGTGAAGGGGTATCGAGTATATGTGTTACAAAAGTCAGAAGATTATTGTTTCCTAAAACGTGGTTTTTCATGAAGGATTGTTTCCTTTTCAAAATATAAGTTTGTTTGACCATTATGTTGACATTTTCCAGGACTTTTGCTTACCAAGAGTTGTACATGACATGTTTGATGCTTCACATGTACATAAGATTTAACAGGATTCTCTTGGACCTACTGACTCGACTGATGGTGTTTCTCTTGGACCTACTGACTCGAATGATGATGCTTCTCCTGGACCTACCGACTCGAATAATGATGCTTCTCCTGGACCTACTGACTCGAATGATGATGCTTCTCTTCACATTGATCATGATTCAGTACCAGTTCGACGTTCTTCTCGCACCATTCAGAAACCATCCTATCTTCAGCAATATTATTGTAACAATGCCTCCTCCAAATGCTTATATACTATCAAAAATTTTGTCTCTTCTTTGAAACTTTCAACTTAGTATGAAGTTTTTGTTTCTAATATCTCAACTATTATTGAGTCATCCTTTTATCATCAAGCTGTCAAGTATCCAACATGGAGAAATGCTATGGATGATGAACTTCGAGCTATGGAGAATCTTGACACATGGACTATTGTTCCTTTACCTGATGGAAAGAATGATGTTGATTGCAAATGGGTTTATCGTGTGAAGTATAATGCTGATGGCTTGGTTGATCATTTTAAATCTCAGTTGGTTGCTAAGGGTTTTATACAAGTTGAGGGGACTGACTACATGGATACATTCTCACCTGTTGTAAAGATGACTTCATTTTGAGTCCTGCTTTCTCTTGCAGCAACACGTAAGAGGAATTTTTTATAATTGGATCTCAATAATGCCTTTCTAAATGACACATTAGATGAGGAGGTCTACATGAAATTACCTCCTGGATACAAGTCTGAGCTTAAAGGATCTAATATTGTATGCATGCTTTACAAGTCTATTTATGGTCTGAAAAAAGTGTCCAGGCAATAGTTTACTGCTTTTTCTAATGTTGTTCTTCAACTTGGTTTTCAACAGTCTCCATTTGAACACTCTTTATTCACAAGAGGGTGTGGAAATGGATTTATTACTCTTCTAGTATATGTAAATGACATTGTTTTAGCTGGGGAAAATCTACAAGTTCTTCATAAATTCAAAGTCTTTTACAAAAACACTTCAAATTAAATGAGTTGGAGCCTTTGTGTTATTTTCTTGGCTTTGAAATATCTAGGAATAGCTATGGTATTGTTATATCCCAAAGGAAATAAGCGTTGCAGTTGTTGGAGGATACAATTTACTTGGGTGCTAAACCAGTCGAATTACATATTTTAATTTCCTCGAAATTAAGTGCAAATGAAGGAGAGTTACTTTCTGATTCTCAGAAGTATCCACGGTTGATAGGTCGCTTGTTATACTTGACTAATACCAGGCCAGACATTGTTCATATTGTGTATTTGTTAAGCCAGTTTGTTTCATCCCCTCATCTGCCTCACATGAATGCCTTGAAGCATCTTTTGGCCTACATAAAAGGTTCTCCTGATCTTGGCTCATTTTTTCCAGTTCATTCTACTGATCAATTGAGTATATTTGTTTATTCAGATTATAGTTATGAATCAGTCAACTAACAAGAGCATGTTTCTTCAATTTTCACGACAGGTTTTTGTGCTTTCTTTGGAAATAACTTGGTGTCTTGAAAATTGAAGAAACAGGCTGTTGTTAGTCAATCTTCTTGCGAGGCTGAATATCGAGCTATGGTTATGGCTACTTGTGAATTGGTTTGGCTTGTTTCTTTGCTCTCTTCATTTCATGTGGTTATTGATTATGCAAGATTATACTGTGATAATCAGTCTGCAATTAATCTTGCAACTAATCAAGTATTCCATGAAAAGACAAAGCAATTTGAGGTTGATTATCATTTTGTAAGGGACAAGGTGAAGGCTGTTTTTTGAAGTTGTTTCATGTTCGTTCTATAACATCCTAAAAAGCGGGCTAATAATTAAAATTTAGTTTTTGAAACTTTGTGGTCAATTTTTTTAGGGGCTTAATTGGAATATCTTTGTATAAGATTGAATAGCAAAGAAGTAAGGATGAAAGGGTATAATGGTTATTTAATAATAAATGAATTAAATAT